TTTCAAGTCCGACAATGAGGACTGGACGGGATTTCAAGTCCGACAATGAGGACTGGACGGGATTTCAAGTCCGACAATGAGGACTGGACGGGATTTCAAGTCCGACAATGAGGACTGGACGGGATTTCAAGTCCGCGCAATTAGTTCCAGTCCGAGGCGCAATAAGGACATTTACAAAAAGATGGCAAGCGAAACCATTCCACGACGGAACGTACAATCGTTGACAAAATCCTTGAACCATTTCAGCGAATTTCCTCATTTTGAGGAGCAAAAACCGCAGACACATTCATTCCCCCTGACCCCCTAAATGCAATGTTGCCATTGATCATGTTACCATAGTACACAAGAGGGTTGCCCAATACTATGACAAATTTATGCATAGTATTAGATTGTATTCCACAGACAATATATTAAWAATACAAGACTTTTAAGAATGACGCAATAGAGTGGTTTTCATTAACCCGTGAAACACACTTTAGCGTATTTATCGCTATTACACTTTGGCTCTATTGTCTCTACGCGACTATTACGATCAATTACACTCTAATTATTACACTTTGTTTCACGGGTTTATGAAAACAACTCTAAGATAGAATACTATACAATGTCTTGCATAAATGTGTAAGAGTATTGGACAAGTATGAGAAGCTACATCCGCCATCTTGATACCAGTACCATAATGCACTTCGCCCCCCCCCCAAAAAAAAACATGACCGCGCCACAAGGAACTATACGTACGGTTGCTTTCAATGCTTTGGTCGCTTGGTCTTTGTTGAATCCCATGGACATMAGCATAGCAACTGACTCTTCACTGACAGACGATGACGTAGATGACTGATTWGGTTGTGCAAGACGCAGAGGTTCACTGAAATCTGACATCATACAAATGAGTCCAAAAATTTTATCATTTTACTGTCTTTTTTTTTACCCACATGTACAAACTCCAACGGTCGAATTGAATGCTTCTAACAATTGGCCATTCCGAAATTCAAAAAGGAGACTGGGAACGAGTGTGAAAATATTACATTCATCGAAAACTGAACCTCATCACATGAAAGACTACACTAAAATTAGTGTTCTTGTCAAGTTTGAGCATATTTGGTTGAATACTTACCGAGAAGGATATTTTTTTCAAATTTGTATAAATAAGAGAGAATGTATGGTTTTTGGGGACGCGGCTCAAAACCTTCATACTTCCTTTGTATTTTTTTTTCGGTTTTAAACGCTTGAAACTCTTAGTAATTATTATTATTGAATACTCTCAAACTCAGCAGCTTTACTAATTTTAGTATGGTCTTTCTTGCCCTGGTGTCTGCTGTTTGATTGCTTCAAACGGTATCGAGTTTGTGACTAGTCACCCGTCCCTTTTTGAAATTCGGAACGGGCAATTTGGTATATCAATCAAAGCTTCGATCCTCATCAAACTTATTTCAACACTTTTTGCCCAAACACAGAATGAACTGCGAATTAACTTCTGAACCTTTACGTCACTACTTGATTTTCAATGCATTGTGGGATCAGTTTCTAAAGAAATCCCAAACATATCCTACATTGCATTGCGTATACTGTACATGACGTAAAAGCTTCAAAGGTCTCTTAAGGCTGATTTACACGGTACGATTTGTCGCGTA